CATAACTGTCTTGTGGTTCTGCTTTTCCATATTTTACTGCTCACTTTTTTGTTTTAATTTTATTTTTAGCTGTAGTTGGACAAAATATCTTTTTATTTTATTTATTTTTATGTGGTCCTGAAGATCGAACCCAGGGCCTCGCACATGCTAAGTGAGTGCTCTACCACTGAGCCACAATCCCAGCCCTATGCTGCTCACTTTAACTATGATCCCTGGTGGGGGGGAAGAACAATATAGGACACAGGCCACATTGGTCTTCTTTTCGGTGTTAAGCTTTGGCAAATGACAATGAGTAGCAAGAGAGAGCCCAGCGGGAAGGTATTTTTTCTTATCCCAGATAAAAATTAAAGAGCAGGGGCTGGGGCTAGGGCTGGGGCTGGGGCTGGGGCTCAGCAGTAGCCACTTGCCTGGCATGCATGAGGCACTGGGTTCGACTCTCAGGACCATGTATAAATAAATTAAAGTCTATCAACAAATTTAAAGGGTTAGATTTGAGGGACTCTCTCAGTTCTTGGTTATACAGGCCATTGTTTTGACTTGTGCTTACAGTTTTACCCTACTGCAACTCCATTCCCTGTCACAGTGGGAAAAGACACTGCTTTGTATTTTTTTTTTTTCAACTAGAGGCTTAAAAATGGGAATTTGCCAATAGGGAATGTCATGAGTTCAAGACTTATATCCAGAGAGCCTTGGGTTATAAAGGGAATTGTGTTCCTCGGCTTCATTTGATGAGTGAGCATCTCTGTTTACCAAGCCCAGAGATAGGTCTGGGATAGGACCCAGAGTAGCTCTATATAGGCTTGACTCGTGTTGGTAACCTTTTTGATTGAAGGAGAGAGAAATTGAAGCCAGAACATGAAAAGTGATCATCATTGTATTTTCCAAGGTGAAGCACAACTGAAATTGTTAGATAGGAAGTTTTCAAGCTCCACACAGGAGAGTGAGGGGTGAACTAATTATCTACGAGGAAAGTGGAATGGCTGGGATTCTAGAGCTATTGGGGAGGAGTCTAGTGTTTTCATTTTCTTTTTCTTTTCATACTGGGGATTGAACCCAGGATGCTTAATCACTGTGCTACATCCTCAGCCCCCTTTTAAAAATTATTTATCTTGAGACAGTGTCTCACTGAGTGTTTAGAGCCTCACCAAGTTGCTGAGGCTGGCTTTAAACCCGGAATTCTCCTGCCTCAGCCTCCCAAGGTGCTGGGATTATAGGTGTGCACCACCATGCCTGACCTACTGGGGGTTTTATATATTATGCAAGGAGAAATTAAAGTCTTGAAGAAATGCATAACATAGTTTAGGAGATCTCAGATAACATAGCACAGAGCTGGGACAATAAGGATTCAAATGCTCAGGAACATTTAGGACCTTTCAGATAGCATTCACACATTCATTCCACAAGTACCTATTGAGTGCCTCCTGTGTTTAATACTTTGAAAAGAACTGAAAATGTCAGCTCCACAAAAATGCACTTATTCTGAACCCAACTCCTTTGAAGAAAAAAATGGCATGCTTCTCACAGAAGGCCACAGATGCAGACAGGGACCGATATGTTCCTGATGGTTTCTCTCCAACTGGCTCTGTTTCCTCAGTTTGCATCTCTGGTAGGCGCAGGTGTGATGCTGCTCCTGATGATGAAGGCGGCACAGTTTTTCTACGAACTGCCAAATGTGAGTAGAACTTATCAAATAACTAAGTTAAAAAAAAAAAAAGATAGAATGTCTAGTTTGCACCCTGGTGGGGCATTTTTGCATGGATAATTGCATGCAGCATATCCCCAGAGGTTGCCCTGACCTAGCTCTTGCCCTTTTTCTTTAAAATAATAGCATCATACAGTTGGAGTTAAATGAAATAATATGAGATATATTTGATATTTTTATATGAGATATATTGAAGTGTGTTTATACATATTTAAAAGAAGATAGGGTTGGGGTAATAGTAAGCACTCAAGAAACATTATTGTTATTATCATTCTTATCTTGTTATTGCTTAAGTTATAAAATAAGGAATTAGTAAAAAATGACTAACATAGACTTCAGATGCCAGACCCCTGTTTCCAGCACGGGCTTGGAAACTCACTGTGCAGGCTTGGAAACTCATGCCATCTGTTTTCCGGAAGGCCATGATCTGCCTTCCGTGTGAACACAATCCTCCCTTTGCTGCCACATTGCCTCTTGGTTAATTCATAACACTTGAAGGTGGCCTGATAAAGTTGAGTGTTAACTTTGTCCAAGTAGGATGCTTCTGAATATGAATGTGCCATTTCTTTCTTTTGGATAAGACTGTTTATCTGACCCTTAAAGATGCCAGTTGTGTTAATCACTGTCTGTACTCAACTTGCTCTAAGTTACAATATAGATCCTTGCTCAGTTTTCTGTATTGATAAACAATATAGATTTATGTTTTCATGTTCCCTTAAGCCATTTTATAACATACTTAGGGAGGTGAGGGAAGGTTTCCTTCCTGGTGTGGTAGCTTCATACCCTGAGGTGGCCATCCCCAAAGCCGAAGTGATTGTAGATGTCATCCCCATCTTCTTCAGCACTACCTCTACCTGGTGTCAGGTATCATTAAAGCAGGACCACCACAAGGTTGCTGCTGCCTTCTGCTCTTGTGACTCAAGGATCTTGGAGCCCAAACATGGTATCTTCTCAAGGAGGGTGAGATTAATAAGTTTGTGCTTAACACAGAAGCTGTTCTCTGATTCCCAGCAGAAGTCTCTCCAGAACTCAGTTTACCCAGCATCTTCTGTGTTGTAACTGCTGGAGTCTGTTTTAGAAGGGTAACTCATCAATTTACTCTGAGCAGTTGTATTTTTTCTTTACTGCTAAAAGAAGCAGAATATTAAAATTCCAAACAAATAAAAACTGTCAGAATTCACTGAAGGGTAGTAATAAAAGTAGGTAGCACTCCTTTATTATAAATCTGTTGGAGCTAGGATATCCTTCACTTTTGGCTGGCTATGTTGCACCACATTATTCTTATTGTGCCTGTGTGTGTGTGTGTGTATGTGTGGTGCTGGATGTTGAACCCAGGGCCTTGTGCATTCGAAGCAAACACTCTTCCAATTGAGCTATATCCCCAGCCCTCACTGAATCTTCTTTTAAAGTATTTTTCTAGAGGGACACATACCTTTCTTTATTTCTATGTGGTGCTGAGGATCCAACCCAGTGCCTCCCACATGTAAGGCAAGTGCTCTACCACTGAGCTACAGCCCCAGCCCCATTCTTACTTTATCTTGTTAGCACATTTCTGAGTGAGAAGATGTGAACACAATCTGATGAATGAAATATATGAACTATTATAACAATGAAGTTGTACAGGTATTAAACTATGGATCATTTCTTCTTTCCTTAAAAGACTGCAGATGGCTTTTTGCAAAATCCTTATTAGAGTCATTAGAGGAGCCTCCTGGCTAGCATCTCAACTAGTTACCAAAAGATCAACATAAACTTGGAAAAGCATGATACAAAATAGTACATTTCATTCTGCAGTCTGTATACGGGGTAAAAATGGGAGTTCATAACCCACTTGAATCAAATGTATGAAATATGATATGTCAAGAGCTTTGTAACGTTTTGAACAACCAATTAAAAAAAAGAAAAAAAACCCAAAATAGTACATTTCAATGTAATTTCCAATTTTGTGTGAAAAAAATATATAGAACACGCCAAAATGCTAAAAATGGTTGTCTCTTTGATAATGGAAATGATGAAGGAGTGTAATTTTTTTTAACAAAATGAACATATTTTACCTTAATGTTTACAAAGGTAAAAGTTTTTGTTCTATATTTTTTTCTGAGATTTTTTTCCTCTCCATGCCGTCTGCCTTAAGTCAAAACTTATACAAATCTCTGATGAAGTTAAATTTCTTTTCCTTCCCACCATGTCTCTGCAAATTGTTGAGAGTTTGGAGATTCTTGACTGGAAAGAAGGTGGTATAGTGGAAAAGAACCATACCTCAGAAAGCCAGAGCAAGCTAGGGCCCAGCCATTCCTAGTGGTAAAATAAGCTCTCATTCCCAGGCAGAGTTTATTGAAGAGATGGGAATTAGAAAAAGCCTAAGAAATGTTTAACCAACTCAGGGACTTTGTGAACATACAGAGAAAATTGTCTTAAGGTATATTATATTCTCCTTTATGGCCCCGATAATTTTCATATCCTTATAAGTATAAATCTTAATTTTCCAAGATATAGGGAATATTTTTTCTATTAGAAAAGTAGTCTCATTTTAAAAATCTTGGAAAACACACAATAGGTAAAAATGTCACCTGTCACCAGTAATTTACAAATAAATCATTAACATTTTGTCATATATTTAACCAACCTTATTTTTTTGTTGTTGTTATTGATGCTTTATTGCTAAGCTACATCCCCAACCCCCCTTTTTAAAATCATTTTTTACTATGAGACATGGTATCTCTAAGTTGCTAAGGGTCTTGTCAAGTTGCTGAGACTGGCCTTGAACTTGAGATTCCCCCTGCCTCAGCGTCAGGAGTCACTGGAATTACAGGCTTGCACAACTATGCCTGCCAAACCAGTCATTAGTTTCTGTGAATAGATATCATTTTGCATAGTTGCAACCTAACTCGACATACAATTTTGTATTGTTGATTTTTTAAAATCTAGAACACAATATTCCAAAATTTCTACATGACAGTGTATCACTGTGTCTTGATCTGTTGCCAAATGATTTCCCAAAAGGGCAGTATCCTTTTATACTCAACAATCATATATATGGGGTGTTATCAATGTTTTTAATTTGCTACTTTAACTTGATTGATAAAAAATAGTATCTTGGGGCTGGAGACATAGCTCAGTTGATAGAGTGCTTGCCTTGCATTCATAAGGTCCTGGGTTCAATCCCCAGCACTGCAAAAAAAAAAAAAAAAAGATCTAATTAGTAAGATAATGATAGCATATCATGATTAAACTTGTATAGAAACACATGATTTTAGAATTTCTCTGAGTGGAAGTTCTCTTGATTCATTATCCCATTGGAGAATGGTTTCTAGATGATGTTTTCTAGATATTTTGAGTAACAGATTTGTCAAACAAATGAGATAAGGCCAAGTAGCCAAAGAAGCCAGATTCCCCATAGGTCCTGGTGTCACCACAGTGACAACACTGATGTTACCTTTGGCTACTCCTCCTCTGTCTCTGTGAGTAATAAACTCTCTGAAACTAAAAGGGGTCCCTTATAGCTTTATTGCCTGAATCTATCAAGCCTTGAGCTTGGCCTGACCTTGCCTCAATGTCTGACAAATCATAAAGGAGAGTAGAGAAAGATGTGGAGAATATTTATTTGGGCTGACCCAAGAGTTGGAACACGTATATGGTATTCATATGAAATATCAACATAAAATATTTCTGAGTGGCAAGGCTGACGTCTTGTGGTTGCTTTGTAGGGGTGGGAGCTCTAACTCCACCCATCCACCCACTGATGGGAAATGAAGCTGGGTTTATCTTTTCCCCACAGGCTGTGCTGGCTGGAGTTGTTCTGAGCAATGTACTGCCCTACCTTGAAACCATTTACAACCTACCCAGTCTGTGGAAGCAGAACCAATATGACTTTGTGAGTGTAGATGCCCTGGCTGAGCAAGGGAAGGGAGAGGGGAAGGTTAGAGAGAGAATGAACAGAAGAGATGGGTCATGGATATGAAGAACACAGCAACTCTAGTGCCTTGTATTCTAGTTGAACCCCAGGGTGGTTTATCACTGAGCTGCTCCCCCAGCCCTTTTTATTTTTTATTCTGAAACAAGATCTCACTGAGCTGCTGAGGCTGGCCTTGAACTTGCAATCCTCCTGCCTCAGCCTCCCAGGTCACTGGGATCACAGGCGTGTGCCACTGTACCTAGCCCTTGCACTCAAGGCTATTGGTGCATGAAAACATGGAGTCCTTATTTCAACTATGCAAAATTGAATGAAAGGGATTGATGAAGTGGCTACAGTTACACACAGACCTAGTAAAGAGGGTTTGTGTCCATTGCATATTCAAATGACTTTTAGTCCAGTTAATATAAATATCTTCCTGGATAAGAGATACAAGTTTTAAGGCTGGGGTTGTAGCTCAGTGATAGAGCACTTGTCTAGTACTTGGAGGCACTGGGTTCGATCCTCAGCACCACGTATAAATAAATAAAAGTATTGTGTCCATCTACAATAAAAAAAAAACAAGTTTTAATAAGAGAAGGAGATATCTTACCAGACAGAATGTCAGCTGGGGCACAAAACCAGAGAGCAAGAAAGAAAAGATGAGGGGCAGAGTGTGATGACAGGAAGAGGACCCAGTAGAGGCAGAGAAATAGAGAGGGGGCAGTTTTGGGAGCTGGATCCCTGAGAGGCTCAGGGGGATGTTTTCAGTGCACAGATGGAGTTTCTAGTCCAGGAGGAGGGCTAGTATTCCCACCTGATGAGAGAGGACAAGCAAGAGTTGAGTGCAGATACTGAAGAGTGACTGCGGGGTTGGGGAAGGAAATAGGTAAGAGAATTTCAGCTTATTTTTTTTCCTGTGAAGATGAAGGTAAGGTCACTTGCTGAGAAGTGGTCAGGTAGGGACTTGAAAAAGGTGTTAAAATTTTGCAGTAACTCTTAAAATAACTATTACCCTGGGATGAGTCATTGCAGTTTGCTAGCCAGATGGGATTTCTAATCTCAACAAAGCCTATAAGAGAGATCTTTATCACTATTATGCGCCCGAGGAAACAGAAATTTCAAGAGTGAATTGACTTTCAGGCAGCCTTGAGGGCCCACAGTTGGAGATGACCCCAGTCCCTGCGCCCCAGGTGTGGAAGGGAGAAGGTGGAGGTCATTTGAGAGGTGGGACTGGTATGTTCTTGATTTTGTGAGTTTTCATGGTCTCCCTTTCCCTTCAACCCTTTTCCACAAGGTTGTCTGGATCTTTACATTCTTATCTTCGATTTTCCTGGGATTGGACATTGGACTACTTATTTCAATAGTTTTTGCTTTCTTCATTGCCACTCTTCGTTCACACAGGTACTTGGTCTCAGGTAATAGGTTAGCCACAGCAAGGTAAAGCCACCTTGATCTAAAGGCAAGTGCATTTCCTTTCAGAACTAAGATTCTCATCCTGGGTCAGATCCCTAATACCAACATTTACAGAAGCATCAATGACTATCGGGAGGTAAGAAGACAAAGCAGCCATTTCTTGTCCCAGGGGATGGGGTAAACCAAGCCTGGTGCTTAGTTTCTCTGCAAAACCCCTTTTGCCAATGTCAGCTGCTGTGCAGATACACACTCACAAAGGAGGGGGAAGCAATGAACAAGGGGCAGAGGTGGGTAAACCCTTCTCATGCTGCAGCCAGCTAAGAATCACTTTTGAATGAATTTTAAGGAGAGGAAGACCAAGAGAGGAGTGAGAAATGGAGGTGGGGGGAAGCAGGGATGGAAATGGGAGAAAAGAACTTTCTGGTTCTTGCATATGGATTTTCCTGAAGGTTCTAAAGATGAATTATTCTTTTTTTAAAATTTTATTTTTTTAGTTATAGTTGGACACAATACTTTTATTTATCTATTTTTATGTGGTGCTGAGGATGGAACCCAGGGCCTTGCACATGCTAGGCGAGTGCTCTACCGCTGAGCCACAACCCCAGCCTCTAAAGATGAATTATTCTTGTTGCATGAAATAATTGAGAAATTTCCTTCAAGTTCACATTTTGCCTTGGCAGATTACAACTATCCCTGGGGTGAAAATTTTCCAGTGCTGCAACTCCATTACATTTGTAAACGTGCACCACCTAAAAAACAAGCTGTTAAAGGAGGTAACCCCTCTGCTCCCCACCTTTCTCCATTGGCTCTGCTGGCCTTCAAGCAAATCTCTCCCATCCTTTCACATTTCTTTCCATCCTTTCCCCTCTGTGTGAGAATCCTTTTCTGTCTTTCAGGTAGGTATGGTAAGGGTGCCTCTTAAAGAAGAAGAGATTTTCATGCTGTTTACTCAACATGAATCCCGCCATAATGAAAACCCTCTGTGTAGGTGTTCCTGCAACTGTGATGAACTGGAGCCACCACCTAGGGTCAGAAATGTCTCTTTTCCTGTATTTGTCTCCTTTTTGTTTTGTTTTGTTTTGGTACTGGGAAATGAACCCAGGGGCACTTAACCACTGAGCTACATCACCAGCCTTCTTTTATATTTCATTTAAAGCCAGGGTCTCCCTGAGGTGCTTAGAGCCTCACTAAATTGCTGAGGCTGGCTCCTGCCTCAGCCTCCCAAACTGCTGGGATTATAGGCGTGCACCACCATGCCCAGCTTTCTTCACATTTATGAAGAAGTACATTACTATGGCCCGGCATGGTGGTACACATCTGTAATCCTAGCAGCTCAAGAGCTGAGGCAGGAGGATTGGGAGTTCAAAGCCAGCCTGAGCAAAAGAGAGGCATTAAGCAACTCAGTGAGACCCTGTCTCTAAATAAAATACAAAATAGTGCTGAGGATGTGGCTCAGTGCCCCTGAGTTCAATCCCCAGTATACCCCTCCATCACCAAAAAAAAAAAAAAAAAAAAAGTACATTACCACTGAGCACAGTGGCACACACCAGTGACTCTGGAGGCTGAGGCAGGAGGATCACAAGTTCAAAGCCAGCCTCAGCAACTTTGTGAAGCCCTAAGCAACTTAGTGAGATGTCTCAAAATAAAAAATAAAAATCACTGGGGATATAGCTCAGTTGTGAATCATGTCTGGGTTCAATCCCCTGTACCAAAAAAAAAAAAAAAAAAAAACCACCAAAAAACAAAAAGACACACTATTAAAGTCATGGAAGGAACTTTAGATGAGCCACAGAGAATTGAAAATCCAAGATTTCAAACAGAAATGACATAAGTTCCCCTTTGAGGTTCAGGTAGGAGGAGAAAGTAGGTAGGAGGAGATGCCCTGACTACTATTGGTGACAAGAACACGGTTTGCCTGTTGAGACTGTCAGTGTTCATCATTTCTAACCTGAACTTAGTCTCAATAGTCCCTTCCCACCAGGCACAGCTGTTCATTTGTGGCTTTTGAGTCTTTCAGTGATCCCTTAGTCTAGACCCTATCCCCTAGAGGGCAACACTATTTACACACACCTCTGACAGCTCCCGTCCCCTGCCAGACAGGGACCAGCAGAACACTGAGCACACACACTTGTTCCCACCCACTCTAAGAGAGCTCTAACTGAGCTCCCTGAAAACTACCAACTTCCCTGCCAAGAGAACAGAGTGATCACTATATGTAATTTTAATTTTGTATCCACATGATGCTAAGTATTGCAAAGAACATTTATTTACAGGACATCAGCAAATACACTTTAGAGTAGAATAAGAATTTTATTGATCTCTTAATATGTCCCCAGAACAATGACACTACGAAAAATGAAAAACAAGGAAGTTTTAAAGTTTCATTTTTAATTGAGGGATATTTGTATATTTTATGGAGTATAATGCAATATTTCAATACAGGTATACATTGTAGAGTGATTTAATCAGCCTAATTAACACAGCATTCACCTAAATGTTTATCATTTCTTTGTGGTAAGAACATTTAAAATCCCCTCTTTTGGTTATGTTTACCTATAGTCACCATCCTATGCAGTAGAATGCTAGAACTTTTTATAATACCACCAATAAATAGTCTATGAGGGTTCCCATTTCCCCACCTTCTTCCCAACATATGTTATCTTGCATCTTTTTATAATATCCAATGTAATGGGTACATAATATTATCTCATTGTGATATGAATTTGCATTTATTTGATGGTTAAATATATTGAGCATTTTTTCATGTGATTGGCTACTGTATACCTTCCATTGAAAAATGTCTATTCATGTCCTTCGCCTATTTTTTTGATGAGGTTATTTGTTTTCTTGTTCTTAAGTAGTTTGAGTTTCTTGTATATTTTGGATATTAGCCCTTTATCTGATGAATGATTGGTAGATATTTTCTCTCAATCTGTGAATGTCTCTTTACTCTGTTAATTGTTTCCTTTGTTATGCTGAAACTATTTATTTATTTTTGTTACCAAGGATTGAACTCAGGGGTGCTTAACCACTGAGCCATATACTAATCCCTTTTTATTTTTTATTTTGAGACAGGGTCTTGCTAAGTCACTTAGGACTTTGCTAAATTGCTGAGGCTGGCCTTGACTCCTTCCTCCTGCCTCAGCCTCTTGAGTAGGGGATTACAGGCACGTGCCACAATGCCCAGCTGCAGAAGCTTTTTAGATTGATGCAATCCCATTTGTCTATTTTTCTCTTGTTTCCTGTGTCTTGGGGATCATTAAAAAGAAAAAAGAAATTTTAAGAGTCTCTGTTTCTGTCTTCAAGTAGTTTTTTTTTTTTCATTGTGATAAAAAATAAATAACATAGCTGGGTGAGTGGCACACGCCTGTAATCCCAGCAGCTGGCGGGGCGAGGCTGAGGCAGGAGGATTGGGAGTTCAAAACCAGCCTCAGCAACAGTGAGGCACTAAGCAACTCTGTGAGGCCCTGTCTCTAAATAAAATACAAAATAGGGCTCGGGATGTGGCTCAGTGGTTGAATGTCCCTGAGTTCAACCCCTGGTACACACCCCCAAATTAAATAAATAACACAAAACATGCTATCTTTTTATATTGTTATTGATACATTATAATTATCCATAATAGTGAGGTTTATTGTGACATATTCATGTATGGACATAACATAATTTGCTCCAGTTTCATTCCACAGTGCTTCCCTTCCCCTTCCTCCTTTTCCCCCTCCCCTTCTTCTACTCTACTTTTAAAATTTTTTAATTGGAGTATTATAATTATAATAAATGTGTGATTCTTTGTGATATATTCGTATGTGCACATAGCATGATTTGATTGATTTCATTCCTAGTCCCCAGTTCCTCCTCTTTCTCTCCTCTCCTTCCTTCCCTTAATCTCTTTCTTTACTGTTCTCCATTCTCTTTTTTTTTTCAATTTCTTTTCTCTTTACTTCTGCATATGAGAAGGAAACATTCCACTCTTGACTTTCTTGAGTTTCGCTTATTTCGATTAACCAGATGTTCTCCAGATCCATCCATTTATCAGCAAATGACATAATTTTATTCTTCTTTATGGCTAAATTAACTCCATTGTGTATATATGCCACTTTTTAATCCATTCATCAGTTTGTAGACACTGAAGCTTGCTAGTTCCATAACTTGGCTATTGTGAATCATACTGCTACAAACCCTGAAATGAATGAATTTCTATTGTATGCTGACGTTGGTTCTTTCGGATAAATATCAAGGAGTAAAACAGATAAGTTATATGGTGTTTCCATTCCTAGTCATTTGAGGAGTCTCCACACTGATTTCCATAATGGTTGTGCTAATTTACAGTCCTATGAACAATGTATAAGTTTTCCTTTCTCCCCACATCCTTGCCAGCATTTATCATTATTTATATTCTTGATGCTTGTCATTCTGAGGTAAGGTGAAATCCCAGTTTAGTTTTGATTTGCATTTCCCTGATTGCTGAGAAAGAATATTGAACTTTTTCACATATTTCTTTGCCATTTGCATTTCTTCTTTTGAGAAATGTCTATTTATTTAGTTCATTTGCCCATCTACTGATTGGTTTTTTGTTGTTGTTTGATGTTAAGTTTTCAGAATTCTTTATAGGTTCTGGATATTTTTTAGAATATTGTTTTAGTTGGAGATGGACATATTACTTTTATTTTGTTTCCATGTGGTGCTGAGGATCAAATCCAGTGCCTTCCACATGCAAGGCAAGCACTCTGCCACTGAGCTACAACCCCGTCCAGATTCTGGATATTGATCCCTTGTCAGAAGAGTACCAACAAAGATTTTCTCCCATTCTGTAGGCTCTCTTTTCATGCTCCCAATTGTTTCCTTTGCTGTGCAGAAACTTTTGAATTTGATGCAATACCACTAATTGATTCTTGGTTTATTTCTTTAGTTTTAGGAGTCTTATTAAGGAAGTCAATGCCTGAGTCTACGTGTTGGAGTGTTGACACTATGTTTTCTTCTAGGAATCATCTTTCTGGTCTAACTCCCAGGACTTTGATCCACTTTGAGTTGACTTTTGTTCAGCGTGATAGATAGGAATCTAGTTTAATTCTACTACATCTGGATATCCAGTTTTCCCATCACCATTTGTTAAAACGTCTGTCTTTTCTCCAAAGTATGTTTTTGGCACCTTTGTCAAAGATGTGATGACTGTATGAGTTAGTCCTTATGTCTTCTATTATATTCCATTGGTCTTCATGTCTGTTTTTATGTCAATACCATGTTGTTTTTGTTAGTATAGCTCTGTAATATAATTCAAAGTTGGGTACTGTGATGCCCTTCAGCCTATTATTGCTTAGAATTGCTTGGGTTTTTCTGGGTCTTTTATTCTTCCCTATGAATTTTAGAGGACTGTTTTTTTCCACTTTTGTGAACAATGTCATTGATGTTTTGATGGAGATTGCATTGGATATGTAGATTATTTTTGGTAATATGACCATCTTAACGATGTTAATTCTGCCTATCCAAGAAAATGAACGGCCTTTCCATCTTCTAATATCTTCTTCAATTTCTTTCTTCAGTGTTCCATGATTTTCATTATAGAAGTCTTTCACCTCCTTGGTTAGATTTATTCCCAGTTTTGTTTTGTTTTGTTTTGGCTATTGTGAATGGAATTGTTTTCCTAGTTTCTTTTTCACTGGGTTCATTATTGGTGTAGAAAAACAGGAACATAGAGTCTATGAAGAAGAGAACAGAGAACCTCTCAGGAAAAAAAAAAGTTCCTCTACCTGGAGAAGCTTGAAACTCTCTGCCACTGGGCGAACCCACACCTGTCCCCCAGAGGTCTGGCCTCAGTGCTTTTCACGTCTTGAGGAACAACTCTTACAGTTGAGCTATCATATTATCATCTATCCACACCATTTTTTTTTTTTGCTACACAATATATACTACCTTGAATGGCTTTTATCTTTGATTTTTAAAAATTAATATCTTTTCTTCCTTCTTGCTGAGGAACCCAGGGCCTTGCACATGCTAAGTCTACTCTTTACCACTTAGCTAAACCCACAGTTCTAAAATTACTTCATAAGCCACATTATTAGAATGATAACAGAGGTTTTAAATATTCTGTTGGGATATTATTTATTCTTCAAAGGTTTCACATTTATTTAATTTTCCTTTCAGCTTCACATTTTGTCATTTTAAAAAATTAAGCAACTTATTTAGACTTCCATGTCGGAAATGATTTTGGCACGTTAAATAACTTTCTGACATACATAGTGCTTTTTAAATTATGTGAGTCAGAGTCAATTTAAGGAGTAGAGGACATATCACCTGGAAATCAGGTCCTAGCTAGGTGGCAGCAGTAAAAGCTTAGCCGTCAGGGTGCTTCAGTTGTAACACATCAATTTTTCCATTGAATGTAATTTTCTTGAGCATAAACTGCTAATACCCTGATTGTTCTAGAAGGTATGTCATATCACTCAACAATCATACTGTGGTCAATTATTTTCCCCAGTGACAACAAATTTAAAAAAAGAAAAAGAAACATCACTCAGAATTATGCCACTTTAACAATCAAATTGTTTTCATTTTCCCATAAACCTGACAATCCTCATCTACTCATATTATGTATTTGTCTTTTTAATGGACATGTGTACTCCCCCCAGGTAGAATCCCATCCCTGTGAATGCAGGGGTCACATTCATACCTTGCATATCGTTGTATTCCTGATCCTTGCTGCTGTCCTTAAGCTACAGAAGGCTCTTGGGCCTATTAAGAGAGTGAAAGGAGTACCCTGCTCAAGTAAATTTCTGTCTTCTAAAGAAAGAGTGACAGAAGACTGTTGCACTGATGAAAGAAGAAGGTGCTGAGAAAAGTCCCAAGAGAAAGATAGAGTCCGAACCAAATATTTGTAGACATTGACGACTTAATGAGGACCCAGGAACAAAGAAAAGGAACAAATCAAGGATGATTTTAAGTCTGGCTCACTAGAACAATAATGTCATCTATGGACACAGGAAGTTGGGAAGGAGCCCCTATGGGTGGTTAGGATGAGGAAAGAGGAACGTAGCTTTGGCCATGAGATATCCAAGTAAAAAATACACAGTGGTACCTAGTCCAGGGAGAAATTTCATAGGAGAGAGGGAAGTGAGCCAGTACACAGAGTGTACTTCCAGCCCTTGTTTGAATGTTATCTCTATTCTCTCAGGTTGTCTACACAGAACGATTTGAAAATAAAGAGGCTCTTGATGCGTCCTCTATTAACCTGGTCCGCTGCTCACATTTGGAGAGCATAAATATAAGCCCAAGTGTATCTGATGAACAAGTGCCAAACACTGGATCTTCATCGTCTCAGAGAATTCAAGGACAAAACTACGGGGATATGGAGAAAGTCCGGATTGCTAACCACCCCTCAAGAAATAGCTTGATTCCACCACCTGATACTACAGAAAGTCAGGAGAGATCACTCATCCCTTACTCAGACATGTATTTTCAACCCAGCACCCACACCATTATCCTGGATTTCTCCATGGTGCAATATGTTGATTTTCATGCTTTGGTGGTATTAAGACAGGTAAGACCCTGGGGGGCTTTTCCAAGAGCTCCGATCCCCTCACACCACCCACACCCACACCCCATCCCCATTTTAATCCTGTTAGCCTCTGATTAGCTACTACATGACTGCTAGGCTAATAGAAACTTGAACACAGATGGTAATTTAAGTCCAATCAGAATAAAATGAACTGGGGTTGGTTCAATAAGCAAGAGCCACTTATTATTTCTCCAAGAATGCAAAAAAGGAAATTCCCAACACCACCGAAGTAGCAATCTGTGCCATGTCCCCTGTGTAACTCCCATTACATCCTAGAAGTTAGCTGCAAATCTTTTCAAGGAGTACATTTGAGTGGTACAGAAAGAATTTCACCAAGAATTCCTACTCTTCAGCTGCTCTGAGCCAGACACTGGGTTGTCTGGTAATCAAATATGAAAAAGTTGGAATAAAATGAAGTTACCAGTCCAGTATCTGCTGCAGATACTGCCCTGTTCATTTTCTATCTTCATGTAGAAAAGGATAGGGAAGATTGTTTTCCTTCAAAATTCGAGTCGCCAAGACCTGACTCCTACTCTCAAGTTCTCTAACTTCTGATTTCTCTCCTTCCTGTACACAGCAGACAGTTCATAAGCACAGTTCACCACCCTGGTTTCTTTCTTTTTTAATTTTATTTTATTTTATTTATTTATTTATTTTTATTGTTGGTTGTTCAAAACATTAGATAGTTCTTGATATATCATATTTCACACCACCCTGGTTTCATTGCTCAGTGTCTCATAGGTACATTGTACTTTCTTCAGCCAGCTTATCTCTATTGATAGTGCTCTGTCTTACCTTTGCCCCTATTGGAAGTGGCCCAAGTTTAAGCATCCTGGGCACTCACTTCCTGGTTCTGACTACAACCACGCTTTTTTTTTTTTTTTTTTAAAGACTGAGTGAGAGGGAGAGAGAGAGAGAGAGAATTTTAATATTTATTTTTTAGTTCTCGGCGGACTTTGTTTGTATGTGGTGCTGAGGATCGAACCCGGGCCGCACGCATGCCAGGCGAGCGCGCTACCACTTGAGCCACATCCTCAGCCCACAACCACCCTTTTTTGAGATATGCTGATTTGGTTGGTTTACTTTCTTTTATCTTTTTTTTTTAACCTTTATTTTATTTATTTATTTTTATGGGGTGCTGAGGATCGAACCCAGGGCCTCTCACACACTAGGCAAGCACTCTACCACTGAGCCACAACCCCAGCCTCTTGCCTTTTTTTATCTTTGAAGTCTACTTTAATATGTATTATTCTCTTACGTGAGTCCAAATCCTCTTTATTCTGAGGCAGTAGCTGGGAGAACTTTGGCTGCCAGTCTGGAAATGTGTGCTCTATTCTAGCTTCAATACTCACTATCTATCTGACCCAAGGCACATTACTAAATTGCATTGAGTCTGTTTCCACCTCTTTAAAATATTCCATAGAGAAATTGTGCTTTCCTCTCCTCTCTTCCCCATCCCCCATCACTTACTCACTTACTAAGGCACCATATTTTCTGGCCCTTGTGGATGACTGTCTGCTCTATCCCCATAGAGGAAATGTCAGGTATCATTTTTTTTTTTTTTTTGCGCGGGGGTTGGGGGGGATACCAGGGATTTAACTCAGGGGCACTTGACCACTGAGCCACATCCCCAGCCTTAATTTGTCTCACTGAGTTGCTCAGTGCCTTGCTTTTGCTGAGGCTAGCTTTGAACTCACGATCCTCCTGCCTCAGCCTCTCAAGCCTCTGGGATTACAGCTGCACCACCTTACCGGGTTTAAACACACTTTTTAAAATCCCATTCATCCATTTTTATTAGAGACAACCACTCAGTTTAAGCTTCTTCTAAATTCATAGGCTTTCCCTTTCTTATTGCTTGTCATTTAGAGTATGTCTGTTGAGGCCCTTCACCAAATGACTTCACGATTTCCCATATGATCAAAAATGACTTTGTGCCTGAGGTGCACTGTAATCCCAGCAGCTTGGGAGGCTGAGGCAGGAAGATTGCAAGTTCCAGACCAGCATCAGCAATTTAGCAAGACCCTGAGCAACTTAGTGAGACTCTGTCTCAAAATGAAAAATAAAAAAATGGGCTGGGGATGTGGCTCAGTGTTTAAGCACCCCTGGTTTCAATCCCTGGTACAAAAAAAGAACTTCCTGTTTCCTCTTGGTACTGATAAAAGCAAAGTCTGTTTTATTGGTTTCTTTTAACATTTTAATTTGGTTCTCAGGGCTGAAGTCTATGCAATCTTAGACTATAGTATTGACTTAGTTAGAAGTGACTTTCAAATGATTTATCGGCTGAAGTAAACTTGAGGTTTCTAATGCAACTTTGCAGAACAGCTCTGAATGTGACCCTCAGGATTTTTGAGTTCTGTTTCCCAGTGCATCACCTGACCATCTTTGAGCCACATCTCCACCCCTTGGCCTGATGAACTCCAGGAAGCAGAGGGTCTCACACAAACATTAAACAATATTTCCAAGCTTTTCATGGCGATTTCCAAAGTGTTCCCATCATATTCGTACCCATCTCTATTCCAAGGCTTTCCTCATGCAAACGTGAACTGTTACCCACCTCAAGACTGTTGAGCATCTCTCCCTCTCAACCTCCACCCCCATGAGATGGTCTGACTTTATTTTGTGTTCCCTGGAGTACAGAAGTCCACTCATCAAATGTTTGTAGAGCAACTGTATTTATATCCCAGATGAGCCCATGGCCAAAGGGGTTTGAAAACTCAGCTAATTAAAAGTTTCTTTTTTAGTGAGCATAAAGCTCTCTGATGCTGATTTACTCTCTCCCTGCAGATGTGCAATTCTTTCCAAAACGCCAACATTTTGGTGCTCATTGCAGGGTGTCACCGTGAGTATCCTTTACCCTAGGAGAGGGCTGTGATTTGCACCCTGGGGGCCCTGCTCCCCAGGTGTCTGATGCTGTGTGTTTTGGGTTTGGTTTGTAGCCTCTGTGGTCAGGATGTTTGAAAAGAATGACTTCTTTGATGAAGGCATCACCAAGGCCCAGCTGTTCCTCAGCCTCCATGATGCTGTGCTGTTTGCCTTATCAAGGAAGTTTCCAGAGCTCTCTGAGTTAAGCGAGGATGAATCTGAGACAGTGATACAGGAAACCTACTCAGACGTGAACAAGGTTGGATGATGCAAAGCACGGGGATTGTGGGGAGGCGTGGAGAAGGGTGAGACCCCTGATCCGATAGAGATGAATAATGTCCCGGAAAGGTTTTCTAGTGTGGCTGTACCAGAATTTGAGATGTTGAAAATGCTTTCTTACCAACTCATAAATAGCAGTGCACCTGAGGCTCCAAGTGCCCCTACTGCCATGGCATCTGGGTGCCATCCAGAACACTCTTCAACTGAAGAGAGGGTTAATCCAATCTAGTGGCAACCTAGAGCCTCCCTTTACATCAGCCTTGGTTAGTGCCACGCCAATCGCTCAATATCTTAAATATCTCCCTTAGATAGACCTTTAGAGCCTACCCCCCCACCCCCACCCCCCGCGCCTTTAGGATGAAATATAAAACTCATGAATTAGCTAAGGTAAATATCTGTATGTCTAATATTTTGACTATTATTTATCTTGTGAGTAATAGAAGATTTATTTAACCTGACCAAAGGCGAAAAAAAAAAGATATATGTCAGAAGTTTTAGTCGCTTATTAATACTAAATAAATAACTGTTCTGCTTCAGCATTTTCAAATTAGTATCTGTGTAGGTCAAAGTTTTTTGGGTTTTTTTTTTAAAGAAAGAAAGAAAAAAAACACAGATGGGCATCAAATACTATTTAAAGACTTAGGAATTATTTTTCAATCAAATCTATGATTCAAATTTCCAGATTTCAATGTTTGCATTTTTATGACAAGAAAAAAATACTAAATAAAAAATACTAAAAGTATTACCACATTAATAAGTAGGGTTTTTTATATCTTTGTTATTTACTTCTTTATTATGTGGTGCTGAGGATTGAACCTGGTGCCTTATGCATGAGAGGCAAGTATTCAATCACTGAGCTACAACCCCAGCCCCTAATGAGTGTTTTTAAATATTCTAAGAAGTAAAAGATATTCAGGCTTGTAAAACATAGTTCTTTTCTTTCTTTTTAAAATTGTTTTGTTGTAGATGGACAGAATACTTTTATTTTATTTATTTTTATGTGGTGCTGCCTCACATGTGTGAGAATCCAACCCAGTGCCTCACGTGTGCTAGGCAAGCACTCTACCACTGAGCTACAGCCCAGCCCTCTTTTTTCTTTTCTTTTCTTTTTCTTTTTTTTTTTTTTGTGTGTGTGTGCTGGGGATCAAACCCAGGACCTTGTATATGCAAGGAAAGCACTCTACCAACTGAGCTATATCCCTAGCCCCTTTCTTTCTTTCAGCAATATATTACAATTATTTCTCTTGTTTTGGTGAGAATTCTCCCAAGTTATGTATCTCTGTTTTATCCAAAATAATTTTTCCCTAGTAGCTAGATCTGATTTTTTTTATTTATTTATTTGTTTGTTTATTTATTTATTTATTTATTTTTGTCTACAGTATATTTCACTCCCATTTATAAAATTATAGACTTAGAAAACCTTTCTGGGCTGGGGATGTGGCTCAAGTGGTAGTGCGGCCCAGGTTCTATCCTCAGCACCACGTACAAACAAAGATGTTGTGTCCGCCGAAAACTAAAAATAAATAAATAAATAAATAAATGAAAATTCTCTCTTTAAAAAAAAAAAAAAAGAAAACCTTTCCATCAGAAGGGACATCAGAGCTCATCAAGTTCACCTCTACCCAGAACAATAATTCTCTTGACAATATCTCTGGCCAGAGATGGTCCTTCTTCTGCTCAGAATTTCCATTCATTTTCAAACCATAGTATACATCAGAATTACCTAAATGTGCTGTTAAAACAAAGACAGCTAGGCCCCTCTGTACCCCAGTCCACTGAATTTCTGACTCAGCGTGTCCAAGGTAGGTCCTAAGATTTTGCATTGCTACCCAGTTACCAGATAATGTTGCTGGAACTAACTGGTACAGGGACCACATTTTGAGAATTACTGCCTTAGAGATTCGACATACACCCTTCACTGTCAAAATATAATGTGCCTGGTAGTCTTGTGTGCCAGACATTGTATTTGGAAAATGTTTATAGAAATAATTTGTGGCCTAGGAGGATATTTCTCTTCTAGAAATAAATGAAATTTTTTGCCAAATACTGGAGGTTCTAGCAATCTAGAATTACTTTGATCTGATATCAGGACTTGAGGTTTTCTTTACCATCCTGATGACCCAAAGGCCAGTTATAGTTTGTGAGAAAGTCTGCCATAACTCCTCCCTAGCAGACTATGGAATGTAATTTTTGCAACTCTGAGCCCCTAAAAATATCAAAAGTACTGCTTCATGGGGCTGGGGATGTGGCTCAAGCGGTAGCACGATCGTCTGGCATGCGTGCGGCCCGGGTTCGATCCTCAGCAGCACCACATACCAACAAAGATGTTGTGTCCGCCGAGAACTAAGAAAAAATAAATAAATGTTAAAATTCTCTCTCTCTGTCCCACCCTCCTCTCTCTCTCTCTTAAAAAAAAAAAAAAAAAAGATGTCATTTCTCTCTTAAAAAAAAAAAAAGTACTGCTTCATGTGATACTTCTAGATCATGAAATACTTTCGTGACAAAAGTGGCCCCAAATGCTAGATTCATCTCCCTAGGTTTTCAATTCTTCCCATTCTTGGCCTGATAATTCCTTTTAATCTTGTTAGCATTATGGTACCCTCAAGCAGAGTTTTTTTTTTTTTTAATTCTACCTAGTTGTCCACAGGGGAAGGGTTGGTCTGAGTTATATAATCTGCTTTTACTTTAAATGGATGTTTCTCTATTTTTGTTTTTTATTTATAATCATGATTCTCTTGACATTTTTTATATATTATATCATGACATCTATTAATCTTTCTTTTTATTTTCCACTTATTTTTGCTTCTGAAGCTATTCCCACATACAAAATAACATTTTCTCCTACATTTTATTATTTCATTTTTCATATGTTATGACTCTTTAATCTATCTAGAATGTTTTTCAGTACATAATGTTAAAGATAACCATTTTTAAAAATCTATATAGCTAACTATTTTGAGCTCTACCATCTGTCTCAGTCCATTTGTGCTCTTAGAACAAAATCTCAGAAACTGGGTAATTTATAAATAACATTTTTTTTTTTGAAACGTCAAAGATCAAGGTCCCAGAAAGTTTGGTGACTGGTGAGGGCTTGTTCCATCATTTGCATCCTCCTCACATGTAGAAATTCCCTTCTGCCCCTTTAGGAGGAATTAGTCACTTTCCAAAAGGCCCCACCTCTTAATACCACCACTTTGGGTATTAAGTTTCAACATGAATTTTAGAGGACATACATGCAAACCATAGTACCATCCAACCATCTCTTGAATAAGCCTTTTTTGCCTCACTGATATCAGATGCTATTTTCATTAAGTATGATTTACTTACAAAAACTAAAACCTAGTGGCTGGGATTGTGGCTCAGCAATAGAGCCCTTGCCTTGTATGTGTGAGGCGCTGGTTTCGATCCTCAGCACCACATACAAATAAATAAATAAAATAAAGGTATTGTGTCTAACTACAACTAAAAACAACAACAACAAACAAAAACCTAAAACCTATTTCTTTTCTGGTTTTTGGTTTCATTGTTCTTCATAGTTCTGGTATCATACTATTTTGATTACTACAATTTGATAATACATTTTAACATTGTCTTAAGAAGTCCTGTGTTGACAGGCATGGTGAATTATACCTGTGATCCCAGTGACTCCAGAGACTAAAGCAGGAAGATTGCAAGTTTGAAGTCAGCCCATAATTTAGCATGGCAATAATTTAGAGCAATAATTTACCAAGACCCTCAAAATAAAAAATTAAGAAAAAGGGTTTAGACTGGGGTTGTGGCTCAGCGATACAGTGCTTGCCTAGCATATGCAAGGCCTTGGGTTCAATCCTCACCACCACATAAAAACAAATAAATAAAAACAAAGGTATTGTGTCCAACTACAACTAAAAATAAATAAATAAAAATAAGAAAAAGGGTTTGGGGTGTGGAATGCCTCTGGGTTCAATCCCTAGAAAACACACACACACACACACACACACACACACACAGTCCTGTGTCATCAGCATTGTTTCAAACTTTTCTAATGAATTTTTTTTCTAACTCATAATCACAAATTTATTCTTTCAAATCAACTTTTGAATCTTTATCAGTTTCTACTTTCTACTCTCAAAATGCAAACAAACAAAACTAAACAAACAAACAACAAAAAAATCTGTTGGAATTTTCTTTAGAATTACATTAATGATATGAAATAATCTGAGAATTTATATCTTTACATTATCTGTTCTTCCTATCCAGGAACATGAACTGTATACAATTATCCAATATTTTAAAATGTTGCATTCATAAAAATATTTTACAACTTGCTTCATGTAGACAAATCCTCGTTATTACTTTATATGTTTTCCATGTATTGCTTTTTAAAATAAATTGTCTTAGGCTACACATGATCGTATACACCTATAGTCCCAGCTACTCAAGAGGCTGAAAAGGAAGGATCCCTTGAGTCCATGGATTTTAAATCAGCCTGGGGAGCATAGCAAGATCTTGTCTCAAACTAAAAGCAACAAAAATAAAATAAATTCTCTCTTCTATTAGATGGTTCAACAGGCAATTTCTAGGATATAAGAAACTCAGTGATTTTTTTTCTGGTGGGGATTGCAGTGCTAGGGATGGAACTCAGGGCCTTGCTTATGCTAGTCAAGTACTCTACCACTGAGTCACATCTTCATGCCAACTCTTTGATTTTTTACAAAATTATTTGGCCTAAGAGGTGTCATTGTTAATTCTTTGGGTTTGTTTTTTTTTTAAGAGAGAGAGAGAGAGAATTTTAATATTTATTTTTTAGTTTTCAGTGGACATAACATCTTTGTTTGTATGTGGTGCTGAGGATCGAACCCGGGCCGCACGCATGCCAGGCGAGCGCGCTACCGCTTGAGCCACATCCCCAGCCCAATTCTTTGGGTTTTTTGTTTGCTTTTTGGTACCAGGGATTGAACCCAGGGGTGCTTAACCACTAAGCCACATTCACAGCCCTCTTTTATATTTTATTTAGAGATAGGGTCTTGCTGAGTTGCTTAGAGCATCCCTAAATTGCTGAGGCTGACCTTGAACTCAGGATTCTCCTGCCTCAGCCTCCTGAGCTGCTGGGATTATAGGTGTGCACTACCACACCACGCCTCTCTTGCTTGGGTTATTTTATATATAAAATGTGTACTAAAAATAACACCAATCTCTCATTTCCTGTTAGAATTCTTATTTCATTATTACATGTTATTACATGTTAGATCTCTCAAAATAATTTAAATAATAGCACTGAGTCTTGTCCTATTCCTGGAGTTGATGAGAAAGCCTCTTGTGAGCCTGTATGAAAGCTAGTGGTAACTAGCTTATGATAGGCATTGTTGACTGTTTTTTTTTAAGTATTTTTCTAATTTATTAACATTCTTTTCAGGACTTATATTAAGAGTTGGTATTGAATATATCAATTTGTTTCTGGCATTTAAAACAGGAAAGACTAGAAAAGGAGCCAGTTCTATTTTATTTGTATTAAATTTGAGATGCCTACTAAACATCTAAATGGGGATGTCAAGAATAGAAGTAGGGCCAGGCATGGTGGCGCATGCCTGTAATCCCAGCGGCTCAAGAGGCTGGAGGCAGGAGTGAGTTCAAAGCCAGCCCCCGGCAAAATCAAAGAGCTAAGCAACTCAGTGAAACCCTGTCTCTAAATAAAATACAAAAAAAAGGGCTGGGGGTGTGGCTCAGTGGTTGAGCACCATTGAATTCAACCCTGGTACCAAAAAAAAAAAAAAGAATGGAAGTAGGTATAGAACCTGCAGATTAGGGGAATGGTTACAACCAAAGAGTCACTGGCACATAGATGGTAATGAAAATTATGGGCCTAAATAAAATTACCCATGGGAGAGAGTGCAAGGAGAAGAGAAGGATCCCAGGATCAAGACTTGGAACATGCCACCATTTCAAACTCCTTCAGAGTGGAGCATGGTGGCACAACTACCCAGGAGGCTTGAGGCAGGAGGACTGCAAGTTCAAGGCCAGTCTCAGCAACTTCTTGAGCCCTGTCTCAAAAATAAATTCTAAAAAAAGAAAGAAAGAAAGGAAAAAGCTGAAGATGTGGCTTAGTGGTGACCTGCTTGCCTAGCATGTGCTAGGCCCGGGGTTCAATCTCCAGTATAGGGGTCGGGGTGAATTCAGCAGAAATAGAGAAAACAGCATAGAGAAGCAAACCAGGAAGGAAGAAGGAAAAGCAGACATGATCTATGGTGAAAATAAGCAAATCTTTGTAGAAGGGTGAAAGTGGTAAATTTCATGGGACATTGCTGCAGGGATGATTCACCAACCTTTGCAGGCACCTGCCAAGGGACAGATTCAGTGCTCGGCACTAGGAATATCAAGAACCAGGCACTGCAAGGAACTTTGAGCCTAGGAAGGGGTAGGCTTGTAAATAAGGGAATATATTACTGGTACAGTGATAGAAGTGTGGGTGAAGTATAGTGGAACACAAAGGAAGCTGGGATCCTTTGATCTGAATCTGGAATGATAAATAAGTGTATGTTGCCAAGATGGAGAAGGTCAAGGCAGGAAAGAGGAGCAGCATGAGCAAAGGTAAGCAGTAGTCAGGCAACTCTGGGTAGCTGTATGGTTAGAGCAAAGGGTGGGTACCACAGGTGGAGATAATGCTGAAGAAGATGGCAAGAGGCCAGGTGCAAATAGCCTTATGTGCCCTGTCAAGAGTTTCAACATGGGTGGCAAGGTAAGTAAGATCAAGAACACAAGGTGTTTCGGAATGCTGTGAAGACCATTGCTATTTAAATGGTTGATCACATCATCCAGTCTGGCTAGAAAAGCCAGAGAGATCAGAAGGGAGGGATTGATTGAGCCTGAAGAATAGTGAGTGACTGAGAAACTGAAGAGTGCGAAGAAGATAAAAAAGCAGATTTAGACAAGAAATATTTTCTACTTTGCCAGGAACATGTGGTCTTCTGATATCTTAAGTCCTATTATATTTTGATTTTCTTTGACTGCTTGAAAGTTAAACTTTAATTGGAAATTTTACCCCATCTAATTGTGTATATTTCAGAATGACATTCCAAGACACAAAAGTAGTAACTTTCCAGAGAGCCACAAAAATCCAAGTCCAACCTTTGCCAAGGGCCAGGCGCCAGTAGAAGAGGAGTCAGAGTTTGATTTGGAAATGGAGCCCATGCTGGGGTCAGAACGAGATGCAGGGCTGGATTCGTACCTAGACCTAGATCAGGAGCCGGAGAATGACACAGAGGTGGATCCTCCATCTGAGGTGTACCCAGATACTGAGCCCGAGTCCGAGCTGGAGCTGGAAGCCCAGAGTGATGTGGATCCCAAGACCCCACCAGAGATGGAGATAGAGACTGATCCCGAGATGGAGCTGGAGCTGGAGAGGGTGCCCCAGCCCAAATCCAGGTCAAAGGCTTACACGTACCCTCCGCGGCAGCAGAGGCACTCTTATTCTGAGGCTACCCAAACTCAGTCTCAGTCTCGGCCTCAGACACCGTCAGTGGAGAGGAGAGGGCAACATATGGATTCATACTCACCCAACGCCTATGACGATGAGTTCCCCTGGGAGGTGAACTGGAAATAAGGGGTCAGAAAACCCAGGCAAATCTTTCCCACCCAAAAGGGGCCACTTGGTTAGGAAGCCTAGACTGGGTACATACTAGCAGTACTTGGCTTTTTGACTCCTCCACCTACTGTCTCCTCACTGGGCACTGGGATTTCACTCCCAGGCCACATTACCAAATGCCAATGGCGCTCTCTACCTTCCTCGTCCAGGCTCACCTTTATCCCAGGAAAGGGTTTCCTTCTTCAAGCACCCTGCATCTCTGGGCTTCACGCCAGACTACTTCTGACTGACTTCTCTCATTTCTGTTTCCCCATCTCCAAAGAGATGAGGCTCAAATAAAATATATAACTCTAATTAAGTTTGGATCCTTCCAGCACCTTCTCCCTTTTCTGTATTTTGTATCCCTGAGGAAATGTCAAGTTGGGAGGGATTCCAGAAGGGAGTGAACATGTTAAAAGAAAACATGGATAACATTTCTATTTTGTATGTGAGATATCTAGACTGTACTAATTGGGGAAAACAGAAAGGGTAAGCAGGCCAAAGGTAAGCCAGCCTGCGAGACTTGTAGCACAGGGACCAGCTAAGCAGAAAGCACTTTTGCTTTCACTCCCAGTGGTCTACGTTTTCTCCTGACACTGGTTTCCTATGACTAATCAGCTGTACCACTTGGGGAGAATGTCAGCCTTGGGTAGCTCTCTTTGGTCTTCAGATTCACATGCCTTCACCACTTCTGCTTTCTTGCAGTTCTTAAAGCTATAGTTTTTTAAGCTACATGGAATGGGTATTCTTGGTAGACTAGACAGACACAAACCTCCTAGGAGCAGGAGAAGACAATCAATACTAGTTTTGTTCAAATTCATTCAAATAATTTCCCCCTTCCCCACGAAAAAAATGTCTAGTTTTCAATTCAATTAAGCCCAGAAGAAAAATATAGACACCTCGGCAGGCAAAGGTATATGAAATGTTGAATTTTATTTCCAGCTCAATAAACATAACTCTTTCTGCTTGGGTACTCAATTTTTCTTTTTTTGTTAAATGAAATAAATCTCTGTTAAAATATAGATTTGTGGGCTGGGATGTAGCTCAGTGGCAAAGCGTCTGCCTTGCATTCGCAAAGCCCTGGGTTCGACCCCCAGTTCCAAAAAAGACAAAAAAAATATATATATATATAGATTTGTCATTACAAGAGATGGCATATGCTACTCACTCACTCTATGAAAACTTTGCTAAGCTTCTGCTACATGCATAGCATCTCAAACTATGGGTTAGATAAAACAATATTCTTCCCACTTTTCACACACACAAACTAGGATTCAGAAGTTTTGTAACTAGCTCAAGGTCCTATACAATATGATCTCATATATACAATAAAAGAGGTGGGAACACAGATAATTTTCCATTGCTGTAAAATACCTGAGGCAGGCTGACTTTATATAAAAAGTTTATTTAGCTCACAGGTTCTGGAGGTTCAAAGTCAAGATCAATGGGTCTCATTAGTTTGGCATCTGGAGAGGACCTAACCACGGATAGTATAACAACAGTGGAAGTGTGTGTGGGAGGAAGAAATCACATCTCCAAAAGGGAAACCAAGGAGCAATTCAAGGATTGTGCTTACTCTTACAACAACTCACTCTTGAGAGTTCAGGAGTCCAAGAGAGCTACCTTATCCCTTCTAAAGGCAGCTCCCCCAGTGATTTTAGGACATCCCGTGAGACTCTGTTCTTAAAGGTTCCTCACCATCTCCCAACACTTCTACTCTAGATCCAGGCTTCCAACACATGAACCCATAGGGGACAAACCACACCCAAACTATAGCAGAGCCCAAGTCACAAAAGCATCCTTTTTTCGTGTTTGCTTAATATAATGAACTCCTACTCTGTTCCAGGTATTATCCTAGGTGCTGAAGATACAAGTTGAAGAGGACATACAACAAAAGTAATTATAGGGGCTGGAGTTGTGGCTCAGTGGTAGAGTGCTTGAATCTCACCTGTGAGACCCTGGCTTCAATCCTCAGCACCACATAAAAATAAATAAGTGAAATAAAGGTGTTGTGTCCAACAACAACTAAAAAAAAATATTTAAAAAAATTATAAATTGTGATAAATACCTTGAAGGTAAAATACAGAAAACTCTGAGGGCATACATTAAGAGGACCTGAGCTAGCCTTGGGTGTCAAGGAAGTTCCTCCCATGGCAATAACATAGGACCTGGGATCTGAAGGATGAAGAGGAGTTAGGTTTATAGCAAGTTCCAATGGCTCTAGGAAGGAAGCCAAATGGGGAGCTGAGAGTGGTGACTGAACAGAAGTTGAAAACCAGGGGACAAAGCCAAATGGAACCTCTGAGAGTGGTGACTGAACAGAAGTTGAGAACCAGGGGACAAAGCCAAATGGAACCTGTGTGTAATGACCATGGCACAAAGGGCTCAACTAGAAACTGAGTCAAATCACAAATAAGTTATCAAGGTAACAAGGTCAGGAAGAGATCTGTCAAAATCAAGGCAACAATATTCATGATAGGAGACTACAAAGTGCATGGAGAACCCATTTTCTGTGCGCTACCACCTTACTCCAGTTTCCCTCTGGTCCCTTGTTTCCATTAGAGGAAAGTCTTTAAACACTTGGGCAATAAGTGGGAGAATCTACACCGTGTTCCTTTCTGTACAACAGAAAGGAACATTTGGCAATATGGCAACATGGCTAAATCTTAACTTTGATGCGTAACTTCAGAAAGACCAATCAGATGTTGGGGTACAGTCTATCTTTAAAAAATATTCTGGTATAAACTCATAATATCCAACCCCTCCCAAAGCAATCAGATAAAGAAAAATGGTTAACCAATTATAAATAGTACAGCATTCAAGAAAAGGTCAAGTTAGAGTGTTAGTGAGCTTTTCATTGCTATGATCAGAATACCTGACATAAACAACTTAGAGGAAAGGTTAATTCAACTCATGGTTTCAGTCCATGCTTGGCCAGTTTCTTTGCTTTGGATCTGAGGTGAGGCAGAACATCATGGTGGAAGGGAGCGGCCAAGGAAAGCTGCTCAGCTCACTGGCAACAGGGAAGGGGGAGGGAGCGGGAGGGAAGGAGGAAGAACCAGGGACAAAATATATTCCTAAGGACACGACAGCCTCCCAAGGACTCACTACCTTCAATCCACTTCCCAGTAGTCCATTCAGCTATTGCTATATTAATCCTCTGATGATATGGGAGTCCTCATGACCCAGGCATTTCCCAGGAGCCCCACCTCTGAACATCACTGTATTAGAGACCAAGCCCACAACACATGAGCCTCTGGGGGACAACCCAGATCCAAAAGGTAACAGCAAGTAATTCAAAGAGGAAGGTTTTTAATGCTATTGGGGTCACACAATCTCAGTGCTCAGAAGGGCCATAGGGATATTTAATTACCTACCTACTCCCTTATTATTAAATATAATTCAGGTTGGGCACAGTGGTGCATGCCTGTAATCCCAGCGGCTCAGGAGGCTGAGGCAGGAAGATTATGAGTTCAAAGCCAGCCTCAGCAAAAAAAAAAAAAAAGGAGGCCCTAAGCAACTTAGAGACTCTGTCTCTGAAAAAAATACAAAATAGGGCTGGGGATGTGGCTCAGTGGTTGAATGCCCCTGAGTTCAATCCCTGGTACCAAAATAAAAATTAAATTCAGCAAATATTTATTGGACTGCTCCCATATCTTAGATACTACAATTCAAAGTAATCTATTGCTGCATAATAACCTATCAGAAAATTTGGTGACTTAAGGGGCTGGGGATGTGGCTCAAGCGGTAGCGCGCTCGCCTGGCATGCATGCGGCCCGGGTTCGATCCTCAGCACCACATACCAACAAAGATGTTGTGTCCGCCGAGAACTAAAAAATAAGTATTAAAAATTCTCTCTATCTCTCTCTCTCCTCTCTCACTCTCTCTTTAAAAAAAAAAAATTTGGTGACTTAAAACAATAATCACGTTTTTATTCACGATTCTGGGTTTAAGTGAGGTTATAGCATCTGGAGATTTAGGAGAGTCTCGAAATCAAATGTAGTTTTACTTACATGCCTGACACCTCAGCTGGGATGGTGGAGATCTGGAGGCTGGCCAGGCATCTCTTTCTCTCCACATGGTCTCTCCAGCAGGGTGCTGGACTTTATATGGTGACTCAAGGCAGAGTGTCCAGAGTGTCACTTCTATCAAATTCTACTCTTCAAAGTAAGTGACATAGACTTTTTTTGATTCAGTGTAAGGGGGGAAATACACTTCACTTTTTTTTTTTTTTTTTGGTGGGGGATACCAGGGAATTGAACTCAGGGACACTTGGCCACTGAGCCCCATCCCATCCCTATTTTGTGTTTTATTTAGAGACAGGGTCTCACTGAGCTGCTAAGCACCTTGTCATTGCTGAGGCTGGCTTTGAACTTGGGATCCTCCTGCCTCAGCCTCCCAAGCCATACACTTCATTTCTTGAAGAGAGGAGTAGAAAACAATTGTTGGAGGCTGGGGTTGTGGCTCAGTGGCAGAGTGCCCACCTAGCATGCATGAGGACTGGGTTTGATCCTCAGCACCACATAAATATAAAATAAAGATAATGTGTCCATCTAAAACTAAAAAATAAATATAAAAAAAGAATTGTTGGCCATTTTTAATCCACCACAGTATGGTCAGTATGAGGATAAAAGATCAGGAGGATATGATTTCCGCCACGGAGGAGTTCCCCAACTACAGACAGACGTTAGAGAGGGAGTGTCATGGTCTTTTAAATTATTCAAGTAGAATATACAAAGGTGATAATGAGAAGCAAAGTTTTATGGAAAATACAGATGACAGGACAGGTTGAAAATATCATAGGTCAAGGAAAGCTACTGAGAAGAAGGAACATTTGTGCTGGGGTTATGGCTCAGCAGTATAGCACTTGCCTAGCACATGTGACACACTCAGTTTGATCCTCAGCACCACATAAAAATAAATAACATAGAGGTATTGTGTCCATCTACAATTAAACAAAAAAAAATTAAATGGGGGCTCTGGATGTGGCTCAAGCGGTAGCGCGCTCGCCTGCCATGCGTGCTGCCCGGGTTTGATCCTCAGCACCACATACAAACGACGATGTTGTGTCCGATGAGAACTAAGAAAACATAAATAAATGTTAAAAAAAAAAAAAAAAGAGGTCTTGCCAACAAATTGAGTCTTATCAACCCTCTAGATATAACTCTCAGAACACAGGAAATATAGGGAGTAGAGCAACATGTTAAATGATACTAGGAAGATGCAATCAGCAACATCCAGATAACAGGACAAATGGGCCAATTTCTTCAACAAATCAGATAAAAACCAAAACTACACCCACAAAAAAGACAAAGGAGG